TGTAGATAGAAACATTGGGTGACGTTACACGTTGCTCAAGTTAAAAGGCGAGGTAGGGCCATGAAAATCGAAGCCTTGCTTGTTGCGCTTGTTGTTAGATTCGTGGAGGTGGGCCTGAAAGAGTCGCGTGCCGAACAGGCCTATCCGCAGACCGAGATCTAGTGCAGCTGCTCCTGCGAATGTAATCAGCTCCCAGTCTGGATTGTCATCGCCGCGTTGACTTCCAGCCTCTCTTTGAACGTGGTGTTTCTGAGTCGTAGAGGCAAGGCCATCGAGTACCATGGCAGCCCTCGTAGGCAGGCCAGAGGAGTTACTATCATGCCAGCCAGGGGATCGGATACTTGGTTTCTACTCCGATGACGACACATGGCACGAGCGCATATTAGTGTGGAAAGGTCAGTCTGAACACGGCTGGTACGTGTTCACACCCGACCTTGATCTATATGAACAGAGCTACGCGCTGGATGGTAGGGACGGACCCGTAGAGTTCAAGATCAAAGGGGTGCATTTTACCTACTACTCAAGAATGCGAGCTCCCGTGTACAAGTTTTCTACAGATCCCACGGACGATGAGATGAGGGGGTATATCGAAACCGCCTTGGATGAAATGGGAATAGATGTTGTCCCCAAGGATGCTTGGAGGCCTAAAGAAGTGAAGGTGGGCAGGCATGTGGTGGCTACTTCGGTGATGCTGGGACGACGTTTCGTGCCCCGGCGGATCACACGGGGGCTTGGAGTTCTAGATGAGCCAGAAAACCCGAGCTCACCTCTTGGACACTTGTCAGGAGCCCTACTTGACCGGATCGGTGATCTCAAAGCCGCCCCTAGTGGGTACATGTGGGCAACTTTTCGCCCAGGTCTGGAAGGCTCAAAGCCAGAGGCCTTTGAAGTGACCATCGAGCCGGGCAAAGGAGTGAGCTTCGATGACAAAATGGGGATGGTGTATCTTGAACCTGCCGGCTGGACGCCGGTGTACTTGGTACAAGCATCTGAAGCTCTCGAGGCCTTCAAGGATCACCGACGAAGTGACAAAGGCCACGGTTTGGAGAGAGAAGGGGCCAATCCGGCCCTCAAGGATGCATCAGGTTCAAGCGGAGACAAGACCAGCGGCGACGCCTTGGATGCTCGGGTGCTTGAGGTAGATTACAACGCTGCTGGAGAACGCCACAAGGATTGGAAACAGCTGGTCTTGGAGGCGAAAGATTACGCCTTCGAGGACTGGCCACTCGAAGGGCCCCTTTCTACAGCTCATCTGCTGCGACACTTCGAGAAATTCGGCGGGGATCCCAAGCGGTGGCTCAGTGAATGGATGCGAACCAAACAGGTTGGCGAAGCGGATAGAGTGGCTTTTGAAATGCGAACTCTTATTGAATGCTTGTACATCGCCGGCTGTTACGATCAAGTCAACATTCCCTCCCTTGCCAGTATGGAAGTCATTTCTCGAAGAGTCCAAGCAATAGTAGACACATACGCAGCAGGAAGCCCCGGCAACCCTGACTGGAGCAGCGCACGTGTGATCACCGGATATCGTGGAGCTGACGACGCCATCTCACCATCCGCGCGCGCTTGGGCGGCGAGAAAGAACAAAGAGGAGACTGACCTTGCTGTCTCCCGCGCCCGTGTTCGTGACCACCGTCGCGGTCTTCAGGTCAGCGAGGACGCTGCGGCAACAGCGGTCGCAGAAGGTGCACTTCCCAGTGGGGGGCCAAAAGCCAAAGCCAAGGCCGGGAAGGCCAAGGGCCGTGGGCTGGCGGCCCCAGATGGCCAGTGATCCGCGCATGGCCGGGGGCGAGCCCGGAGCTCCTGGTCGTGGACAACAGTCTGGGCATGCACGACCCGTATTTGCGAGCGGAAGTCGGGATCTCTTTCCTTTACCTGTGCCACCTGAGGTGCAAAGGATGAAGGCGGTTAGCCGTAGGAGTGGCCAGAAGATTGCTCTTGCAGTGCAGCATAGCCGGAGATGCCGCGAGGCCGTGATGGCCCTCAACCGACTCGCAGGCTTTAGTGAAACTTCGAATTCAAGCTTTTGTCCTGATGATCTTCAACAAGAAGTTCTTCATCGTGTTTCTTATCTTTCTGGCCTTTGTCAAGACGTTGGAAGTCTAGGGAAGGTGCCAGAGCCGGAGGCAGCCCTCAAGGCGCTGCTCCGTGGCAGGACTGAGTACGGCTCCGCCCTGCCGACATCATTGGCGACCTGCTCGCTCGAGCGTATCTCTTTACCCGAAGACGTTAGCGATGCCCCTCCGGTGGAGTCGCTTTTGGATGAGGAGACCCGTCGATATCTGCAGTGTCCGAAGCATATGCTGATGCCTGACGCTCAAGGCGCCTCGGAATTTCAGCCTTACTGGGATCCCCTTCTTAGGAGGGACTACAGTCTTTACAAGCGGTTGATTCGTAAGCTGGATAAAGCTGGCCTCCTGGTTTATACCGATACTCCTAAATCCTTCTGTGGAATTTTCTTCGTGAAGAAGAGCGATGGTGTCCGGCTCCGACTTATTGTCGACGCCCGGGGGACCAACCGCCTCTTTAAGGCACCTCCTGGAGTGGACTTGTTAACCTCCGATGGTTTTGCAAGGATTGAGTTAGTTCCACCTCCTCATTTGGCACCTGGCTCGAAGGAGTTCACACAGTTTTTGGAGCAGCAAAAGATCGCGATTGGCTTGTCGGACGTGAAGGACTGCTTTCACAGGATGAAGCAGCCACGATGGCTCTCGGACTACTTCTGTTTTGATCCGGTGCCTGCAAGCCTTGTCAACTTGGCAGGAACGATGATGAACGGTCGACGACTGTCTCCGGATGAGATGATCTACCCTGCTGGTGCCTCTCTCGCCATGGGTTTTACCTGGAGTCTTTTCTTTGCACAACGTGTGTCGGAGCGCCTTGTCAGCCTTGCCCCTTCCCTCTCAACATCGCAGCTGGTGAATGACAGGATGGGGACTGTGGTTTTGGAGCCCGACGAGGAGGCAAAGGTTCATCACTATGTGTACGTTGACAACTTGGGGGTTATTAGCACGGATGAGAAAACCACAGATACAAGCTTGCGGGAGATTGAGAACATCTTCACTAGTCACAGTCTGTTGCTACATCCTGGCGAGGTGTCCTGCGGAAGCACACGAGCGCTTGGTTGCGACCTCAGAGCCGACCTTTTGGCCTCTCGTGTTACTCCCGAGAGATATCATAACCTCAGACAAGCAATCGAAGGTCTTCTTCGTCGGCGAAAAGTGTCTGGGAGGCTCGTCGAGTGCATCGTAGGGCACACGACGTTCGTGGGGCTCATGTGCAGGCCAATCTTGAGCATTTTTAACACTGTCTATCGGTACGTTCATGCTCATTATTGGAAGCCCTCCGTCCTTTGGGATTCGGTGCGCGAGGAGCTCACGATGTTCCGCGGCTTGATGATCTATCTCCATTCGGAATGGGTCAGGCCCTGGAGCAACTATGTGAGTGCGACAGATGCCTCTCTCCGCGGATACGGTGTTGTGTCATCTTTCTGGAAGGTCGCCGATGTCGCGGCGGTCGGCAGGGAGCTCGAGCGGTCTCGCTTCAAGAAGCTCGGGATGCACTCTGCCCGAGACTCAGCTCTCACCGCAGCTGGGTTCACCAGAGACGAAGCCACTGAAGAATGGAGGGCTGGGTGGCTTACAACGACCGAGTACTTGAACAGGACCCGCTGGGGTCTCAACGAGACCTTCAAAGAGGTGCCTGGCCGCCTCCTCAGCTCTGAAGACTGGTTTCCGTGCCTTTGGGGACAATGGCGACATGAAGGGGAAATTCTCGAGTTGGAGGCTCGAGCGCTCGTCAAGGGGATCCGTCGCATTGCTCTTAGCCGGTTTGGGCATGATCTCAGACAGTTGATGCTCACCGACAATATGAGTGTATGTTTGGCGTTTGATAGAGCTCGCGCCCGCAGCTATCCACTGCTGAAGCAAATCCGAAAGTTTTCGGCTTATCTCCTGGCACGGAACATCTCCTGCGCAGTACGTTGGGTGCCTTCAGAACTCAACAATGCTGACAAACCTAGCCGAATTGATTATGAGGAGGATAGCAAACAACTTACCCATGTCCTCCCCGCCATCAAAGTCCAGGAGAGAGCGTTCGCTGAAGCCACCTGTGTCGGTGGTGCCAAAGGCCAAAGCGAACAGCCGCAGCTCCAGGCTAGAAGTTCCGGAGCCGACGGTAAGCGTGAAGACCAGGAGAGAGCGACCGACGACGGTAGACCTCGAAGCAAAGCTGAGGACACCACGGAGCCGCTGCAGCTTCGACCTCTCGAACCAGAAAGCCCTTGTCGAGCCGAAGGTTACGAGCAAGCGGAGCCGGGAGAGAAGCGTCAGCGCCTCAACGAGCACGACAGAGTCCGAGAAGCAAGCGAGCGCGAAGCGCCGCAGCCTCACCAGGAGAGCCCGAAGACGCGCCAGGACAGTCGTCGACAGGGCCCTGGCCGACGAGGGGCAGACTTACCTGGAGACCAAGGCGGTAGCAACGAGCACCTCGCGTCAGTACCAGGACGAGCTCAACCGGTTCTTGAAGTTTGCACAGCCGAGGGGCCTCAGTTTGACGGACGCCACCAGGACCGACGAGCTCCTCCTGGACTACCTCAACCAGCTGTACCTGGAAGGTCACCAGAGCTACAAGGCCGACAGGCTCATGGCGGCCTTCCTGCACCGTTACCCGGAGTTTGGCCGTCTCGGAAGCAAAAAGCTCCCACGGACCTGGCGGGGGCTAAAGGGCTACCGACGGCTTACACCGGGAAAGACACGCAAGGCGTACCCGCTGGCAGTCTGGGCGGCCATCGCCACGGAGATGAAGAGAACTGGCTACCTCAGGATGGGGCTCTTCCTGCTCATGGCGGTTTCGAGCTACGCGAGGCCGTCAGAGCTTCTGAGGGCGAAAGCCTGCAGCCTCCTGAGACCGGCAGCTGGGGTCACCAAGACGTGGTCGCTGCTGCTCTCGCCGGAGGAGGAGAACGTCAAGTCCAAGACTGGAGACTTCAACGTCTCCCTTCTGCTCGACAGCCCGTGGCTGGTGACTTGGTGCGAAAAACCCTTCTCCTTTCTGAAGTCCTGCCATCCGACGACACCTCTGTGGGATTTCGGGTATCCAGAGTACGCGGAGGTGTTTCGCAACGTGACTGCCCGTTTGGGAGTGGATGCCACTCCTTACCAAACGCGGCACAGTGGCCCCTCCATCGACCGAGCTCGAAATTATCGGACACTTCTGGAGGTTCAAAAGCGCGGCCAGTGGAAAAGCTACAAAAGCGTGGCGAGGTACGAGAAAAGTGCAAGCCTTGCCAGAAGCTGGGAGGAGTTCAGCATGAACTTCCGGGTGCACGCGGAGCTTTGCGAGCAAAACCTTGGGGCAATCCTGTTGGGAACGGCCCCAGCTCCCGCTTTCGTGACAACAGGGACCTGAAGGGCCGGTACGTCATGGATCTCTTTGCGGGAGGCAACGGAGTGTCCCGTGCAGTTCGTAGACTGGGTTTCAGAGCAAAGTTTTGGGACGTGAAGCATGGCGCCCAACACGATCTGACTGATCCTAGAGTGGTGTCAAGAGTCATCTCTGAGATCCAGCGGGGTCGTGTCATGGCTTGTATGCTGGCACCTCCTTGCGACAGTTTCAGCAGAGCCCAGGATAGGAGCAAAGTCACCCGGGACTGGAAGCATCCTTGGGGTGTTCCTTCGAAGTTTCTTAGCGACCACGAGAAAGAGAACATTCAGCTTGGGAATGCCGTCTTTCGCAGCTGTATGCGCATATTGAAAGCACTGGACAAAGCACGAATTCCTTACATCCTTGAGAATCCTGTGTCGTCCAAGGCCTGGCCTCTTCCTCCTGTTCAAGGGCAGCTTTGGGAGTCCCTGGCGGAAACGTACAAGATTCTTGACAGGGCACATCCCAATAGACGACCTTCAACGACTTAGCCACACCTGTAGCTCTACTTGTAACATTTGCGACCGCACAGGCAAAGCACATGTTCGCCTCGCTGGGTCGCACAACGGGATCCACATGACCAAACGGGCCGAGCCTTACCCGAACAAGATATGTGAAGCGCTGGCCTACGCGCTTACGGCTCAGCAACACACCAGTCTCTCAGCTCTTTATCTGTAAAGTTTCCTTTTTTCCCTTCTCCTTTGGCCCTCCCTGCCCGCCCGGTTAACTTCGGCTTTGGGTCTCAGATTTGGGGAAATTTTGACGGCTCGCCTCAAAGATGCGCGCTCGTCGGAAGCGGGTTTCAAGGCTGAACCCGGAACAGCAAGCAATGACCTTGCCAATGCATGCTCGAGACATCTTGCCGCAAAATGTGTGATCGGAAGTCTGTTTGAGCGTGCTCCTGAAGACTGTAGATAGAAACATTGGGTGACGTTACACGTTGCTCAAGCTACCCACCCGCCCTCCCTCTGGCGTGTTGCTGGGGGAAATTTTGACGGCTCGCCTCAAAGATGCGCGCTCGTCGGAAGCGGGTTTCAAGGCTGAAACCGGAACAGCAAGCAATGACCTTGCC